CAAAAATTAAAACAATATGTGATCACCAAGCCACCACTACAAAAGATTCTTCAAGGAATTCTGCACACAGAAAATGAAAGCAAAAAAACCATGGGAGGACAGGCAGTACCAAACCACAGGAGAATAAAAGACAAGGAAGTAGAGAGTAACATTGACTCAGCTGCACATAATCAAACCCTTAAACAACAAAAACAACTAAATGACAGGAATCACCACATACCAATCAATGCTAACACTGAATGTTAATGGACTTAATTCCTCCATCAAAAGACACCATTTGGCAAACTGGATTAAAAAGGAAGATCCAACAATCTGTTGCTTACAGGAGACCCATCTCATTGACAGAAACAAGCACTGGCTTAGGGTGAAAGACTGGAAGAAGATTTACCAAGCCAATGGTCCCCCAAAACAGGCAAGAGTATCAATATTTATCTCAGACAAAGACTTCAAACTACATTGATCAAATGAGATAAAGAAAGACACTCCATACTAATAAAAGGTGAAACACACAACAAGGAAATAACAATTATCAACCTACATGCACCCAAAGTCAGTGCACCCAATTTCATCAAACATACTCTGAAGGACCTAAAAACATATATAGACTCCAACACAGTGGTAGTGAGAGACTTTAATACCCCCCTTATCACCAATAGATAGGTCATCCAAACAAAAAATCAATAAAGAAATTCTAGAACTAAAACATACCATAGATCAAATGGACATAGGTGATGTCAACAGAATATTTCATCCAACTTCTGCATAATATACATTCTTTTCAGCAGCCCATGGACCTTTCTCCAAAATTGATCATATCATAGGGCACAAAGCAAGCCTCAGCAAGTATAAGAAAATAGAAATAATCCCATGCATTCTATCTGATCACAACACATTAAAACTAGAAATCAACAACCAAAACAACAGTAGAAAACATACAAACTATTGGAAGCTGAACAACACAATGCTCAATCATCAATGGGTCATTGATAAAAGAGGAAATTAAAAGGTTCCTGGAAGTTAATGAAAATGAAAAAACAACCTACCAGAGCCTATGGGACACAGCAAAAGTAGTCTTAAGATGAAAGTTTCTAGCCATGAGTGTGTATATTAAAAGGACAGAAAGATCTCAAATCAATGACCTAATGCTACATCTCAAACTCCTAGAAAAACAGAGCAAGCAAATCCCAAAACAAGCAGAAGGAGAGAAATAATAAAAATAAGGGCTAAAATTAATGAAATAGAAACAAAAAGCAAACAAACAAAAAAAAACCACATACAAAGAACCAATGAAACAAAAAGCTGGTTCTTTGAAAAAATAAATAAGATTGACAGACCCCTGGCAAATCTGACTAAAATGAGGAGAAAAAAAACCCAAATCAGTAAAATCAGAAATGCAAAAGGAGAGATAACAAACACCACAGAAACCCAGGAAATCATCAGAGATTACTTTGAGAACGTATATTTTAATAAATTTGAAAATCTTGAAGAAATAGACAAATTTCTAGATACTTATTTCCATCCAAAATTAAACCAAGAAGATATTAATCACCTGAATAGATCTATAACACAAAATGAAATGGAAGCAGAAATAAAGTCTCCCAAAAAACGAAAAGTCCAGGACCTGCTGGACTCTCTGCTGAATTCTATCAGACTTTCAAAGAAGAACTAACACCAACTCTCCTTAACCTTTTCCATGAAATAGAAAGGGAAGGAACACTACCTAACTCATTATATGAAGCCAGTATTATACTCATCCCTAAACCAGACAAAGACACCTCCAAAAAGGAGAATTATAAGCCAATCTCCTTAATCAACATCAATGTAAAAATCCTCAATAAAATAATGGCAAACCAAATCCAACAACACATCAGAAAGATCATTCACCATGACCAAGTAGGCTTCATCCCAGGGATGCAGGGGTGGTTCAACATATGCAAATCTATAAATATAATACAGCACATTAATAGAAGAAAAGACTAAAACCACTTGATCATCTCAATAGATGAATAAAAAGCCTTCATCAAGATCCAACACACTTCATGATAAAGGCTCTAAGAAAACTGAGTAGAAGGAAAGTACCTCAACATTGTAAAGCCTATAAATGACAAACCTATAGCCAACATCATACTTAATGGAAAAAAACTGAAACCATTTCCCCTAAAATCAGGAACAAGACAAGGGTGCCCACTGTCCCACTCCTATTCAACATAGTACTGTAATTCCTAGCTAGAGCAATTAGGCAAGAAGAAGAAATAAAAGGAATACAAATAGGTAAAGAAACTGTCAAAATATCCCTATTTGCAGACAACATGATTCTATATCTTAAAGACCAAAAAAACTGTACCCAAAAACTACTACACACCATAAACAGCTACAGCAAGGTTGCAGGAGACTAAGTCAGCTTACAAAAATCATTAGCTTTTCCATACACCAGTAACAAACAAACTGAGAAAGAATATATGGAAACAATTGCATTTACAGTAGCCTCAAAAAAAATCAAACACATAGGAGTAAACTTAACAAAGGATGTGTGTCAGAGCCAGCAACGAGACTGTGCCTGTGTGAGTTGGTATCTGGCCTTGTGAGAAAGCTCCAAGGAACTGAGGCAAAAGTCTCAGACCAGACCAGTTGGTATCTGGCCTTGTGAGAAAGCCAGACATCCAGAAAAACAGTATTCAAGGTCCCCACATGGCTTCATGTCCTTCAGATGTAAATAAGAAAGTTATGCTGACCATGTGCTTCTTCTGCTTCTCTGTTCCCATTTTAAAAGAGACATAACAAAGAGTTAATTTTAACTGTGCTTCCCTGTGCTAATGTAACCTTGACATGTAATACTTGGCATGCTTTTTCTGACCAAATGCTTTCTGTGTAAAAGGAGTTTATAAAAATGGTAGTATGCTTCATTAAAGTGGCTATTGAGCAGGACTCAGTAGTCCTCTCATCTTTTAAGGTTCCAGTCACCCATGTCCCACCTGTAAACAGCAACAGATGTCAATGACCTCAACAAGGAGAACTACAAAACCCAGAAGAAAGAGACTGAGGAAGACTACAGAAGTTGGTAAGATCTCCCATGATCATGGACTGGTAGAATCAACATAGTAAAAATGGCTATACTACCAAAAGACATCTACATGTTTAATGAAATTCCCATCAAAATCCCAGTGACTTTCATCACAGAGATTGAATAATCTACCCTATAGTTTATTTGGAAACACAAAAGACCACAAATAGCCAAGGCAATACCCAGCAAAAAGAGCAATGCTGGAGGTATCACAATACCCGACTTCAAACTATATTCCAAAGCAAGCAATAAAAACAGCATGGTACTGGCAAAAAACAGACAAGAAGACCAGTGGAACAGGATAGAGGACCCAGATATGCACACACAAAGCTATGCCCACCTTATTTTTGACAAAGCCGCCAAAAACATACGATGGAGAAAAGACAGCCTCTTCAACAATGTTGCTGGGAAAAGTGGTTACCCATCTGCAAGAAACTGAAACTAGATCCATGTTTATCACCCTGTACTAGTATCAACTCAAAATGGATCAAGGACCTTAATATCAGACCTGAAACTCTGAAGTTAGTACAGAAAACAGCAGGGAATACTCTGGAAGTAATAGGCAAGGATTTCCTCAATAAAACATCAGCAGCTCAGCAACTAAGAGAAAGGATGGACAAATGGGACTTCATAAAATTAAAAACCTTCTGCACGACAAAAGAAATGGTTTCTAAACTAAAGAGACCACCCACAGAGTGGGAGAAAATATTTGCCAACTATACATCAGAGAAAGGACTGATAAACAGAATATACATGGAACTTAAAAAACTAAACTCTCCTAATATCAATGAGCCAATAAAGAAATGGGCAACTGAGCTAAACAGAATTTTTGCAGAAGAAGAAATTCAAATGGCCAAAAATCACATGAAAAAATGTTCACCATCTCTAGCCATAAAGAAAATGCAAATCAAAACCACACTAAGATTCCACCTCACCCCTGTTAGAATAGCTATCATAAAAACACCAACAACAACAGGTGTTGGCAATGATGTAGGAGAAAAAGGAACCCTCATACACTGCTGGTGGGAATGCAAGCTAGTTCAACCACTCTGGAAAAAAATATGGAGGCTTCTTAAAAATCTAAACATAGATCTGCAATATGATCCAGCAATCCCACTCCTGGCGATATACCCAAAGGAATGCAACACAGGTTACTCCAAAGGCACCTGCACACCCATATTTATTGCAGCACTATTCACAATAGCCAAGTTATGGAAACAGCCAAGATGCCCCACTACTGAGGAATGGATTAAGAAAATGTGGCATATATACACAGTAGAGTTTTACTCCGCCACGAAAAAGAATGAAATCTTATCATTCTCAAGTAAATGGATGGAACTGGAGAACATCATTCTGAGTGAGGTCAGCCAAGCTCAGAAGATCAAAAATTGTATGTTCTCCCTCATATGTGGACTTTAGATCTAGGGCAAATACAGCAATGTTGTTAGACTTGGGTCACATGCTAAGGGGAGAGCACATACAGGAGGTATGGGGATACGTAGGAAACCCAAAACATGAAAGTGTTTGATGTCCCCACAGCAGAGGAGCTAATACAGAAACCTTAAAGCAACACAGGTCAATATGGGAATGTGTCTGGAACTAGTGAAGAGGTCAGGTAGAGATGAATCAATTTTGGTTGTAACACACTTGTGCATGGAAGCAATACTAGGAATCTCTCTGTACAGCTATCCTTATCTCAACCAGCAAAAACACTTTATCTTTCTTATTACTGCTTATGTCTTCTCTTCATCAAAATTGGAGAAAACGGCAGAACAGGTTCTACCTGGAAGCAAGGGGGGGGGTGGGGAGAGGAAGGGGGCAGAGGCAGGGGGGGAGAAATGGCCCAAACAATGTATGCACATACAAATAAATGAATTTTAAAAAGAAAGAAAATACAGCAAATTATAAAAAAAACTGTGAGTGCACATAAAATATATACCTGATAACAGCATCCAGACTTCCAGTAAACAGCCAAGTTTGCCCCCAGTAGCTCATTATGGATAAGAAGCAAAGCTTGATCCATCTTCAGTTCCACGTGCCTTTTCTTATCTAAATCTAATGAGAATTGGAAAGAACAGTTATCAGAAGAAAAAAAAAGTACCTAAGAGATGTGCAACAAAGTATATCAGTAGTGCTCAAATACCTGCCGTCTGGGGCTTATAGGGTCTCTAATATATTACCTTCTGCATACACAGACCTACATATGTGCAAGCACGTGTATGTGCATACATACATGCCCTTTTCCCCAAATGCCTCTATTACAAATAAAGGTTCAGTCAACACCACTCATATACAGTGTGTAAAAGGACCATGCAAGGAATTTACATTCATCACATGCAAAGATGTGACATGCACTGAATATAATAGTTTCAATATTATGATGACACCTCATGAACTAAGTGTTTTCTTCATTTTACAGATGAATAAATTAAGGCTCAAAAATAGTTTTTATACATTCCCATGGCCACAGTGATTTTTCAATGAAATCACTGGTCTGAAATTTGTACAATTCCTAATACCATACATTCCTCTACCATATTACCAGTTTGTGGGCTCAACCTGGACATCTTGTTAGCAATGCAGAATTCCAGCCCTCCAAAGTCACAATGTGCAGGTTAGCAGGATTCCTGGGTGACCTGCACCCAGTTTGAGAAGTCCTGCTTTCTACCACATTGGTTTAGGGTTCTGAATCTCCTTTTAGATTCCATGGCAGATTTGAGAGGGGTAAGGAGAAAGTTTTAAGTCTGAAGGACAGAAAGACACACTGCACTCATAATCAAGAGTACAGTCTACCAGTTTACTAGGTGACATTCTTAGGGTGACACAAAAATGATGCACATTCAAGGGCTGAGAATATAGCTCAGTGGGTACACCACTGGGCTTAGCATGTGCAAAGCACTTTCAAATCCCAGCTGCAAAAAAAAAAAGGCAGGGGGGTTGATGCATACTCTAAAATTATGACTTGGTCAATTTGGTTGGAAGACAAAGTGAACTGCTATTGTATGACATTAAAGCAAAGTGGCCAACCACTGGATCACTTAAACCAACTGGATCACTTTATAATGATATACAAGAGAGATTAATTTACCCTCTAGCTTCCAAGCAAAAAGGGAAAACATTTAATAGCACAACTATACATCTGAAATTAATGTTCTTTTGACAAAGTTCCTTAAAAATGACTACTAGCAGTGAAATTTTCAAATAAAACTAACTTTTTAAATAGCTTCTGATATGCATTGTAAAATTTCTCTCCAATTTAGTGGTGCTAATTCAGAATGGCAACTGCACTGATTACAGACTCCCAGGTAATACAGATAATATGCTCTTATTGTGTGCCAGGCCCCAACAGCACTATGAAATAGCTCTTGGTGTCTTTTTTTCTTTCTTTGTTTCTTTCTTTTTTTAGTCAAGGCCCCACTACATTGTTTAGGTTAGCCTCAAATCCATGAATTCAAGTGATCCTCCTGCCTCAGTCTCTCAAGTAGCTGGGACTCTAGACATACACCACTGTGAGCCCTAGAGACAGCAACCAGTTTGCCTAAGGTCAGCACCTGCTAGCAACCAGGATTTAAACTGAGGTCAGCTGGCCACTGCACTTAATTTCTAGGATGCAGGGGCTCCTGAGAGGAAGCATATCTGCTCCCTAGCAGATGGCCCATGAGTAGCCTTTCAAGTTTTTTCCAGACTTTTTAGTCTAATGAATAGAAAACAGTACTTTTAATTAATGAGCAGGTATGAACATGTTTTCCAAATGTTTAACATCAGCATTTTCCTTTCATGGGAATTGTTGGAATATTTATTCAATCACTTACTATGCTAAAATCTTCTTAAATATTTCTATAATTTCTTTACTTTGCAACAATATTAAATTCTTTTTCATCTTTCTCATAATTGTCTTTAAATGTTACTTTTATATTTCTCTCATTCAGTTTTAATAGTTTTCCTTTTCAAATTTAGAGTAACTACCTATTGCCTTTCCCCTGTAATTTTTCTATGTATCATCATCCCTTCATTTCTATAAGTCTTTAGTGGTGCGTAGGTTTAGGTTCTTGTTTTAGGCTTAGATTTTCCTTGTGAATTTATACTTTAAAAGATTGTATTTGCTATTATTGCTAATTATATTATTCAGGAATATGCAGAGAGGCTAAGTCCTATCTAAACATCAGAATTGCCTGCAAAGCTTTAAAAGAGGGGGGTAAATGCTCTTGCCCACTCAAGACCAATTAAATCACAGTCTCTGCTCAATCAGCATGATTTTTTTAAATTCCTGACAAACAACAAACCTAATATGCAGCCAAGGTTGAAAGACCACCACTAGAGGCTGTGACTGTAACCAAAGGATTTTGATACCTTTCTTTGTACGTTTTTGCATTATTTGAATGTATTTTTTAAAATAAGTCTGCATCACAGACACAAAGGATGCATCACTTATGACCTCTAGTTGTCTAGCTGAGGGGTGAAGAACATTTGCCTGGTGGTAAAGCATTTGCCTAGCATGTATGAGGCCCTGGGTTACATCCAAAAAAAAAAATCCTCTAAATTGAACCTGATGTGGGCTTCAGGTTCAAGAAACAACTATCAACTTCCCATACAACAGAGTTAAGAAACACCAGGGCAACATTCATGGAGCATTATAGACAAAAGAACAATTTCCTTTTTCTTCCAGCCTAAATTGTCTTGGTGAGACAATAAACCAAGTAAAGTCACTCGTCTTTTTTTTTGGTTTTGTTTTCAAAATTTTTGAGACAGGGTCTCTCCCTGTAGCCCAGGCTGGTCCAGAACTCACTAAGCAGCCCCATAATTTAAGGCTGGGCTCAAATGCAAGATCCTCCTGCCTGAGCCTCCTCAGTGCTGGGTTACAACCCTGTGCCTCAATGCCCCGCTATAAAGTCACTTATATTGCAAGCTTAAATGTGCTATTTGTGTATTAGGTCTTTATTTCATTTCTAAATATTTAATTGCTGGTTCTAGCTCTTTGATCATGAATATCTTTGCTGAGCATATTTTTAGACCTATTTCATTTAATGTTTTCAAGTAAACATTAAGACCTAAAGTTATATTAAGTTTTTAACAGGAAGATTTCCAGCCCAAACATTGGTTCCTGGTGGCACAAAAAGCCTGGCTGCCCTCTTCACGTGAAGTTTCTGATATACTTAAGAATGAAGGCTGAGGTGTAGCTCAGTGGTGAAATGCTTGCCTAGCATGTATGTGTGAGGCCCACATACAAAAAACAGCACCATAAAAGAAAAAAACAAAAAGTCTAGTATGTTCTCTCAACTACATAGATTCACTATTTACAAGTCACCTAGTTCCTAAAATAATTAGTGTTACTAATTACAAAGAAAGCACTGGAACGTCCCTGACAATTGTGATTGGGCAGATTATGGAACTACTTGGAGTGGTCTCAAGTCTAAAAGGAGGTGAGTAGATGAGATTGGAGACTGTGGTTCAGGCTAGGGGAGGCAGTATTCAAAATAAAATCATCTGAGATGCTTTTTAAAAATTCCTTATGTAATCAAGGAAGAATGATACCATGTGGTTTGAAAGTAAATGGATGCAATTGGAGGACATGATATTAAGTGAAGTAAGCAGGCTCAGAAAGACAAAGGCCACATGTTTTCTCTCATATGTGGAAGATAGATCCAAAAGATAAACATATAAACAAAAACAAGCATTATCATATACAACCTCATATGTAGAACATGTTTGCAATCGTGGAACTACTGTATGGAACTCAGTGAAAGGAAAAGAGAATGATAGAGTATCAACAATATCATAATGCATAACATCTGCGAAGGTAGAGGATATAAGGCTATGTATTGAAAGCTGTTGAAAAATGGGGGATGGGAGGTAAAAGGTAAGGGAGAGCAATGAATGGGGTTGAATAGACCAAAATAAAGTAGACTTATGTGGGGACACGTTGAGAAACCCCTTGGAACATTGACTTAAATATGAATAATGAAATACAGGACTGTTAAATAGGTACAGTGGGGAGGGGGGATACTTGTGGGAGGAAGGGGTGAACAAAGGAGATTAAGGTGAGGGAATATGGTTGATGGATTTCATATATTTACACAAATAGAACAAAGAAACCTCTTGGCAATAGTTTTAAGTGGGGTAGTGTAAGAAAAATTATCTTTTCTATCAAAGTATTTGTTACCCTCTTAGATTACTTAAAAATGCCTCAAGACGCCATCTCAGGTGACTTGCATGTTTAAAGGGTCCTTGCTTCTTCTTTCCGATTCCTGTACAACTCCATTGCCCACCAAATTGCATGCCCTTACCCATCCCCCAAGACTTTTGGCCAATGGAGGGAGATTGTGAACCTGTGACCTGCACAAATCCCAGGTGAGGGGTGGGTACAACTGCATCAGGGATATAAGGAGGAGCCACTGTCAGCCATTTTGTGCTTGCGTGTTTAGTTACCTGGAGTGAGCACATTCTTGCCCCTCTTGATCAAGAGAAAATTGCCTTGTCAAGATTTTCTGTCACTTGTTTGCCTGTTTTTGGCACCAGAGGGTTATCAATTCCAACAATTTGGGGGCTCACCTGGGATTTTACATTCCGTCCAGGAAGGGGGTCCCACCCCTTCCCTGGGGAGACGTATCCTGCTGCCTGATTTTGGCGGCCTTGAGGTTCGGCTGAGGACAACTTTCCTGATCTGCAAATGAACTCAGACTGCACAATTTCTTGACAACACAGGTAAAAGAGCTCTGAAGAAGGGACCATGGTGACCATGTAAGTTTTGTGCACAAACCAAGACAAGAAACGTCACAGGGGTGACCAAGTAATGTCTTGGTAGTCGGGATACTGGAGGCTGTGTGATGTGTGAATGAGACATGTCAGGTGACATGCAGGAGATGTGTAGAGTGACACACAGGAGACATGTCAGGTGACACACAGGGAAAGCAAAGTCCTGATTTGCAGTTCTGAGGCGACATCAGACTGTTTAAGATGGAATTAGATTCTTAAATCTAATCCAGGTCAGCAGCTTACACTGACCCCCAGGCTACCAAGAGGTGCCTCAAACTCCCACAAAGGATGTGGGCAGAGAC